AAAAAAAAAAAAAGATAAAGAAATCTCTCAGATAAACTATAAAACCAAAACTCCATCCCCTGGGCATACATTAACTTCTAAGTTATGGTAACTGCATTAAAATTTTAAAAGCACAGCATAGGAAATGACAGATTATAATCCAAATCTGCTAAATTTGTATAGAACACTTTTTTAAAAATTTATTTATTTATGCATATAGAACTGGGGTACAGGCCAGAGGTGCAGGGGCGGTGAGAATTTCACCAGAGACAGAGTGGGGAGCAGAACAGGCCGACAGACAAAGTACACTGCTGAGGGAAGCAGCGGGGAGACAGGAGAGGTCTGCCGTGCCATGTGGATCACTCATGCTGAAGTGACTTTAGCTTCTTAGTGCTGTGCTTTAACCAGCTGTGCCACCAAGGAGGGCCCAGTACAAAACACTTTTTTCCCCTCTTTTCTCCCCTACCATTCTTACTAGGTTCACTTCCCTGAATTCTATAAAATCCAGTATAATCTCTCCAGGTTGAAAAGTTGATTCAGATCTCTTAATAAAAGCTATTTAAAGCAAGCTTAAATGAAAGGTATCTCATAGAATGTCTTGAACCCAATAAAACAATACAAGTTTGGTTCTTGACATTAATCTCATTCCTTACCACATATATGTAAACTCCCACTGCTCATCTCCCTAGCAAGGTGCCTCCCTTCTGGGTGCTACCCTGTCCCGACGCCACACAGTAATAGTAGGACTATACACTCTAGGCCTCATCTCAACAGTCGACCGTGGGTCAGAGGTGTAGCTAGCCCAGGAGACATTCCCGTGGGCCCTGTGGCATCCCTCTGGTACACTCCAAGAAGCATTCTTTCCACTAGAATTCAACGTTATTAAGGATGTCAGTTTGTGGTTTCACATGGCTGAAGTCTTTTTTTAAAATAAACCCATGAGGGCATTCCCTGGTGGCACATCAGGTAAAAGCGCAGCACTAAGAAGCTATCTGCAGCCACTTCAGTGCAAGTTCAATCTCCGGCCCCAGAGGTGACCCTCTCCTGACCCGCCCGCTGCTCCCCTCAGCAGTGGACTTCATCAATCTGCCTTTTCAGCTCCCCACTCTATCTCTGGTGATTCCTCTCACTGCCCCTGCACCTCTGGCCTGTACCCCAGTTCTGTATGCACAAATAAATAAATCTTTAAAAAATAAAAGAAAATGAACCAGTGAAAGCCTAGACATTAATTATTATTTCTGCTCAACACAGGGGAACAGGGCCTGGACTTCTCCTCTTGTCTAAATCAAATAACAAGAACAAAATATATGAAATAACAGCTTGCAAGACATGGGGTAGAAAGGAACTACAGAGCATAATCCCAAGTAGAGACCACAGTCTCTGCTCAGGCTAACAGTCTAGGAGGGCCAAGGCTGCTCAAAGTCAGGGCAGCAGACCAGAGGGCAGACCGCACCTCGAGACCTCCAGCCCTCAGCCTACTGTCAGGATATGCATGTGGGGCAGCTACCCAAGTCAAGGAAGAGCCAAAAGCTTAAAGAGAACAGCAGTCATTACAATGGGCCATTCTAGTAACCACTGACCAGAGGGAAAACTGACAGTACTCAGAAAAATTCTGCTTCAGTTATGGGGAAAATGTTAACTCAAGATCAAATGCCACCGTGGTCCCACCTAACAAAGCTTAAAACAAGACCCCAAAGAATTAAACTCTCTACGTAACCACACGGCACACTCCATACACTCAAGAATTTAAAAGAAAAATTAAACATATTAAGTAAAGAAATGAAATATACTCAAATTAAGTTAGTAGAGTTGAGAGCCACAGCACTAAAGATGAAAAACATATTGATGAAAATAAAGGCAGATCAGACATCACAAGAGAGAATCAGTGATTTTGAGGATATAGCAACAGAATTCACCAAAAAAAAGAGAAAGAAACAGAAAAGAGAGAACTGGAAACGAAGCTCACACACAGGGAAGCACAAGTGACAGAAAAAAGAAGGGAAGCAGTCTGGGACACCGACATAGGAAGCCACCCCTAGACTTTTCAGTTCCGTCAGCCAATGAATTCCCTTTCCACTCGTGCCAAATCTGAGTTGGGTTTTGTCATTTGCCACAAGAGTCTGAACCGACCTCTCAAGATGAAAAGGTTAAGAACATGTGAGAAGTCATTAGTTTGCTTCTTGTATCACACACATCCAAAGGCAGAGCACAAGAATGTCAACAAATACCTGCTGGCTGTGCCATCAGACTGCTCACTCTAGGACACACTGCCCTCCTCTCTCAAGTCTGAAAGCATGTCCAGGGCAGCTGACATTGTAACCAGTCTTCTCTCTCTGGAAAGAAGGAAGAAAAAAATGGCCCACCCCATACCGAGCCCTCCACAGTGCCTATCTGTGCAGGTTCCTGTCTAGCGGCATGCCTCGACAGACTCTGGCTCATAATTAATTCTGAAGTAAGAGGATACTCATGAGAGGAAAAAATACTTTGCACAGTTTAAAGTTTGAACTACCCTTCAATGAGCATTTCTTTCCAGAAAAGCAAACAAAAAATGGCTTCAAAAATAATTACCAAAATTTTTTAGTACTTCCCAGTTGCTTTTCATTTACACAAATACTTTGTAATCATGACTATCATAAAACACCCCAATTTAAAAAACGAGTGAACTCACATAAATGTAGTCAACTGGACCTTTGACAATGGAGGAAAAGCAACAAAATGGAATGAAGATAGTTGTTTCAGCAAATGGTGCCAGGAAATAAACAGCTAGATGCAAAAACAGGAATCTAGACACAGACCTTACACCTCCCACAAAACCTACATGTATAATACAAAACAAAAAGTTACAAGAACATAATATGGAAAACCTTGGGCACGTAGATGCAAAACCAGATGCTTGATTCATGAAACAATTACAACTAGGTTTGATTAAAATGAAAAACTTCTGTTTTGTGAAAGACAATGTCAAAAGAATGAGACTGTAAGTCAAAGTCCAAGAGAAGATATTTGCAAAAGTTACAACTGATAGAAAGAATATCTTAAATCTCAACAATGAAAAAACAATCAGTTAAAAAACGGACCTATGCAGACACCTTATCAGAGAACAAGAACTGAAAATATATTCTGACTCATACCATATCAAGGAATGCAATTAATGATGTACCAGCACACAACTATTAGTATGGCCAAAATCCAAAATACTGATAACTTCAAAGGCTGGTAAGGATATGAAACATAAAAACTCCTAGTCATTATTAGTGGGAATATAGAATATAGACTCTTTGGAAGACAGTTTTGCAGTTTTTCATAAAACTGAATACAGTTTTATCATATGATCTTTGGTAAATGCTCTTTGGCATTTACCCAAGTGAACTAAAAACTTGCATCTACCCAAAAACCTACACATAAATGTTTATGGCCACTTTCTTCATGATTACCAAAACTTGGAAGTAACCAAGATGCCCTTCAGCATGTGATGGATAACTGTGATACATTCATACAATGAAGTATTATTCAGTGGTAAAAAATGAACTCTCAATTCATGAAGGAAACCTGAAAGCTTACTAGCACGTGAAAGAAGCTAATCTAAAAAGACTACATACTGTATGATCCAGACTACATTTCATTATGGAAAAGACAAGACTGTGCAGAGAGTAAGATCAGAGTTGAAGGGGAGGAGAGATGAACAGGCAGAGCACAGAAGACACAGCAGTGAAAATACTCTGCATACTACAATGGTGGACACGTGTTTTATATATTTGTCCAAACCCTCAGAATGTACAAGGCCAAGAGAGAACCCTAAGACAAGCTATGGATTTTGGGTGATGAGTCAATGTAAGGTTTTTGACTGTGACGAATGTAAAATTCTGTGAGAACACTGATAATGGGAGAGACGATGTCTGGGGTAGGGGGAGGGTCTATGGAAATAACTGAACTTAATTTTACTATGACCCTAAATCTGCTTCAAAAAGATTTTTTTAAACAAAGTGCTCAAGAAATTAAGCCAGTAATAAACATTCTACATAAGGTGGTCAGCACAATTCAAAGTTTCAGTCCTCTTTCCAAGTAGGTAACAGGCTAAAATGGCCAAAGGTGTCTGAAAAACGAGTGTGACAATCTGGGCTTCAGCATGAAGAGTTCTATCATCCACTCATCTTGGAAGCAGTTACAGGGTCAGTGACGAGTAGGCTCAGCTGAGGCACAAGAAATGGCTGATGAAGAAAAAGCAACTAACCCTCACCCTTGAGTAGAAGCACATCCCACCTTGGACTCGCAATCCAGCTTGTCTTTTACTTGCAGGATTCTGCAGCAATCACTTTAACTTTCTGGGACTCAATTTTTTTCATCAAAGTGAGGCTTTTAAAAAGTGACATCTGGTCCCTCCCTGTTGGCACAAAAAGTTAAAGTGCAGCACTACAAAGCTGGTCACAGCCACGCAGCACAAATTCGATCCCCAGCTGACCCACATGGCACAGCAGACCTCTCCTGTCTCCCCACTGCTCCCCTCAGCAGTGTACTTTGTCAAGCTCCCTGTTCTGGTCCCCACTCTATCTCTGGGGCATCCTCTCACCCTCCTCCTCCTCTGGCCTGTACCCCATTCTGTATGCATATATAAATAAATCTTTTTTAAAAAATAAAGAAAGAGAAAGTAACATCAAACCTTGGATACAGAAGTCCACCTGGAGAAACTCATCATCTCCAGAGTATAATGCACTCCTAAATTACCTGCATCAGTTCTAAAGCCCTACAATTCCATGCAATCTGATTGTAAAAACAAGGTTATAAAGCCAGGAATGAAGCAGGAAAGACAGGTGTCTTATTTGAAGCTCTCCTAAAAGTTTTTGGGGGTTATTTTTATGATTTAGCACAATATAGAGACTAAAAGAAAACACAAATAGAACCACAGACACGTTTTATTGTATTTGCTTCACATTCTTGTTTAATGTAGGAAATAACCCTACACAGACATGCCTAAGACCTCCTCTGTGCCCTCTCTAATCTCCAGTGTCCCCCTCGCACTTCCCAGAAACAAACATGATCATGAATTTGTCAGGTATTTTTCTAGCCTATATTGTGTATTGTTTGGTTGTTTTCATGCAGTACTTTAAGTTGTAAATGTTAGGAAGCCAGTGAACTCATCAGTATTTTATTCCTTCACTCACTGAATCAATACTTACTAATAAGTGCCTTCTATGTGCCAGGCAATTTGAAATAAAAACTGAACCAACCAACAACAACAAAAAAAACCTGCCCTCACAGAGCTCCCACTACGTGAAAAACACACCATAAACAACACAACTACATAGTATAGACAGCATGCTGAATGAGAAGAACGAGATGTGGAGGGAAGGGGTAGCAAGTGTAGATACGGAACAGGTGCGGCAGGGAAGGTTGTGCTGAAGAGTTTTAGTAAACAAGGGAATGAAAGGAGGCGGCAAGCCACGATCTGGAGGAAGACACCCCCTTCTAGGCGGGGGGGAAGACAACAGTATGGTAGTGGATGTCTGAGAAACGGGGAGAAGGCCAACAGGCAACACAGAATGCACAAGGCAAGAGTGACAGGAGCGAGGCCCAGATATAACTGGGGGTTCAAGACAGGTGCAGAACAGACAGCTCACAGTACTCACTTTGATCAAGTGACACTACCACATTCGTGCACTGCTTTAGTTAGTGAGCATTCAGGTATCAGGTATCTGCAATTCTGTGCCTTTAAGATGATGCTGCAATGCCGACCATGCACCCTTCATTGTGTGCATTTGGGGTACACACACTTAGAATAAAGTAATTCACCACAGACTGTTTTGCAAGCTGGCTGTTAACAAACTCATACTCCACCAGGTTACTGAGGGAGTTCCTGTTATTTCAGCTCAGTTGTATAAACATTCCACAAATAATCAAAGCTACTGATCGTGTTCATTTTTGCCATCTGAAAAGCCCAGAGTACCACATTCACTTATTTACTGAGGCTATTCTGTTCTCTTGGTTCATTTTTCTTTGCCTGTGCAATTTTAATGACTAGGAACTAGAACACAGGTATTTCTACTGCCTGTTCAGGATTCTGCTTATGTGAAAGTGTCTAGCTCACTGGCCCACTTTCTACTGGGTTTCTTATTTTGCTTCTTCACATATCCTGAATACAACCTTATCAGTATAACACATTTTCTCCTTACAGTCCACTATTTCACTCACAGTGTCTTCTAACAGAGAATTTCAGTTTGAGCTAGTCAAATCCACTTGCATCGTGTGTCATTGGGAGGGTGTGCCTGCTGCATATTTTAGAGTCCTTCCCCACCTCAAGGTCACAGAGCTCCTATGATCCCATTGGTTTTTAAGTCTCACTTTTCAAGGTTAGGTCTTACTCCACCCAGAATGTGCAGGTGGATCTCCAGGGACCCACCGCAGGGCCCTCAATCTCCTAGAGGCTCCTTACCCCTTTCAACAGCAGGATGAGGACCCCCTTCCCACTCCTGAGCTGTGTATCCCTGTACCCAGCACTTTAATACACAGATCCACATACACTCTACAACTCCGTGAACCAATTTTCCACAAAGATGTACGGCATTATTTGCCCAATGTAAAATATAAAAGAAACCTACCTTTGTCCAATTGCTCTTCAGAATAGTGGCTCTCTTTCCATCACCAAGTGCATTTCTAAAAATAAAAATGAGATATAAATATCCAAACATTTCTTATTATAAAACAATGTAATATGCATCTTTTTGAATTTTCCATATTCTCTAACTTAAAAACTTATTTCCCTATTTTTAAAAATCCATACAATTTATGTCCATTATAGGAAATTTGGAAAATACAGAAAAATAAAACAAAGGGGAAAAAGTCATCCAGAGTCACAATCACAACTACCCAGGAATGACTACTTTTCATATTTTTGAAGTAATTCCTATTCATTTAGCTACACCTAATTATTATGTATTTGTGTGTTCACAAGACTTTTCATCTTCAGAAATGTATATTCCCATGTCTTTCACACAACAAATGAGCTACACTATAGTAGACAGTCAGAGAGCCAAGACCTGAAACCATAGTAAGTCCAATCAACACAACTCTTCTTGGAGCTGTCTGGAAGTTATTAGCCTTATTAGCCTCTCTGGGCTAATAACTTTTTAAAATATGTGCTAAATGAGGCTCATTCTACTCCTGCTTTAAGGCAGCTACCCAAATCATGCACTATGTTTAAAATCTGTGCTTTGTAAAATGTCAAATACTAACAGATCCAAATCTCAGTCTGTTTCTAGGCTCCAACTATCTCCCCAGGGTGTATGCCACTCTGACTGACCCACTTTATCTTTCTGTTTATTAAACTTAAGATTTGCTGGCTCATCATTTCATACATACATATATACATACAATTTTTTTGTACTTCTCTGTCCCAACATTTACATCCTGCTATGACAAACTCCCAACTCTGGATCAAGCCCACTTTTTGCTTTCTCCAGGCTTCGGTCAGGCACCATACACTGCTGGAGAACATTAGAGAGGAGCACACACAGCACCTCTACCCCATTATAATCCAAGACAGCACGGTCAAGTGATCATTCTACATCAAATTAATCTCTAACTTTGAAAAATTGTAATTTCAAACCTTGTGATCATCCCACAAACTTCCACCCCCCCAGATAATCTCTGCTATTTACTGGTTAAACTGGAGCCATTAAAGAGGACTCTTGATGTCCTACCACCAAACCTGAAGACAAAACCCACTGCCAGGTCTACCTCTCCTCCTCTACTGTTAAAGAGATGTTCTGAGTCTCCCTTATATGGCCAACTCTTCCACTTGTTCTCGATAATTCTATTACCTTTACAATATCAATTATCTCTTCTCTCATTTATTAAAATTAGCCATTTCCTCTCTAGAATCTATCCCATCAATATTTTTATTGTGGCGAAATTTATACAACACATAAATTGCAATTTAAATCATTTCAGATATACAGTTCACTGGAGTAAATACATCCATTTGCTGTGCCACCTTCATCAGCTTTTAATAATCTCAGATCACTCCTACTGTTAAATATAAAGATAAAACAATGATGTAAAATTTATATTAGTAAATTTAAAATAAATAAATTCACTGTCAGGAATTAGAAGCAAGCACTGCTGCTAACCTACTCCACAGCTACTTTTTTGCTACCTAAGGATACTTTTGCTACCTCACTACATGATTTAGAGGCAAGTCAATTACTTAAACCCCACATAGCAACCCCACTCTTTTCCACTGATTGCATTAGGGGTAGTGCTGGCCAGTGAGGGGGGTTATCATTTTTAAAGACATCCCTGGAAGAACATTAAGAAACTCATACTACCAACATTACTAAAAGGCCATCTAAGTAAGGGAAGAGGAGCCCACCAACACAACAGGACAGAGAATCCAGAAGTCTTAGCAGTTACCTTACGACAGAGGGGACCCTACGGTGTGTGGAGAAGAGAGACTCTTTTAAGGAACAGTGCTGGAGCAATAGGACATGTGTGAGTTTTGAATCCCACTCTGAAGACAGAACTCCAGATAGACTACCAACCTAAGCATCAAAGATAAACAAGCAATTTCCAGAAGGAACAGAAAGCTTGGTGACCTTGGAACAAAGATTAGAAGTAGAACATAAAAATGCTTACCATAAAGTAAATAAAGATAAAATGTACTATTCTACATACTAGTAACTTCTGGTTGTGAAGAAAAAGAAAAGAGTGAAAAGGCAAGCCACAGAATGTGAGAAGTTATTTGCAATGCATACACTTGACCAATGACTTTTATCAAATTTTTTTTTTTTCAAAACTACAATTCAACTCAAAGAAAATAAGAGCAAACGTTCGAACAGGCACTTCACCAAAGGGAATATCCAAGTGGTCGATGTGCAACTGAATATTCTTCATCAACTTAAAATGCAAATTAAAATCATAACACTGTACACCCACCAAAATGTCTAAATTAAATGACACAAAATGATAAGTGTTAGTGAGGATGTGGAACAGAAACTTGTCGTATGCTGCTGGCAGGCGTGTACAATGACCCAACCCCACTGGGAACTATGTTCTAAAGCTGGGTGCACGCACATCTGGACCAAGCAATTCCACTTATCTAGACAACAATACTATCTATAAAAGCCAAATACTAGAAACTACCCAAATGTCCATCAACAATAGAATGGGTAAAACATGGTCTTTACATGCAACAGATGAACACTTTACAATTGCATGCAACAATATGCATCTCAAAAACAATGCTGAAAGCCAAACATAAAAGAGCACATGCTGTGACTGTTTAGACTGCACAAAACTGGCAAACAAAGCCATGGAAGTTAGAAGAGCAGTTACCCTGGGAGAGGAGGCAGCCAGTGACTAGGACTATGGGAGCTTCTGAAAAGCTGGGTGCTTGTTCTACTATCTGGTTCCTGAAAAGTTCACCTATACCCTGATGCACTACACTTTTCCTGTGTATATTTATAGTTTTTTGAAGAAGAGTCATCCTTCTTCTGCAAGAGACCACAGTATGTTTTGATTCCTGTATACGGCACCTGTCCTGTCATGAGGGCATCTGAGGACCAAGTTACACAGAGGGAGGAGCTGGGAAAAACCTTGTTTGTTAGTGATACAAACCTAGTTCTTTAGTGATACAAAGCTGAAGCAACCTTCTGGAACTCCTGAGGCTGTTTTTTTTTCCCACTCAGTTTTCTGATGTTTGCAGTCCAAAACATTGGATACAATGGCACACCTGTCCCATTCCTCATGGCCTCTTCCCCCAAACACCTTTACCAACTGCATATGCTACCTCCATTTCCTAGCTCTCATTCCCACTCCTACCCAGTACCGTTCCTTATGTCCCACTGACAGCTCCCTGTATGGGAACTGAACCGGGCTCATACTGCTAAGTGTAGTTCCAAAGGGCCTCAGGAACAACAGGCATTACCAGGCATAGCTTCGTTACTTCCATGGCACCACTTTCACATGGCTTCTCTAGCTCAACCTTGGTTGCAGAGTCTACCTGGGGAAAGGGGCAGTGTTCTCAAAGCCCAATACCCAATTAATTTACGCCAGATTAATCAGAACCAGGTGGGGATTTTTTTTTTTTTTCAAAGCTTAAGGGATTCCAATGTGTAGGAGAGGAGAGGACACTTCCCTAAGCAATCTCACCTACCTCTGCAACTTCAGATCACCTAGGCTGGTCATCCCGAACGTGTCTGCTGCCCAGACCTCTCCTTGGAGGCCTATGCAATCCCACTTGGATCCTTCAAGGACACTTCTATTCAGATGTCTAAGTCAAGTTCTACTTCTTATAAACATGCTTTCTATTGTCAGGAGGCCATGAAGCTGCTGAAGGCAGAAACCTCAAAAAAATCCTAAGTGCCACCTTCTCCCTCACTTTCCAACTACTACCTGTAAGCAACTGCCAACTTTACTTCCAAAGGATTACAAATACTGCTCCAAGCCACCACATCTCTTGCCTGGAGTTCAACAGCCTCTTGTTCACATTGCACCACCTCCAAGCCCACCCACCTCACCACATTCAGAGTGACCCTACTGAGGGGCTAGTTATGCTATCTCCCCTCAATTTAAAGTCCTTTATGCTCTTATCGATGCTCTTAAAGGTCAAGTCTTCATGGGTGCTCAAAGTCCTCCTTAGTCTAGCCCCTGACCACCTCTCCCCTCCTCCTATATTCAGGTGACTCTTCATTCCATGAATTAACACAGTGCTTCCCACCACAGGTGCTCAAACCACTGGCCCACAGTCTGGAATGCAGGGATGTCTGGTTTTGCTCATTTCTGTCATCATCTATAAACAGAACCCCAATATTTGTTGACTCAATGTTGGATGCCATTAGTACTTCTTATACTATACAGTACTAGAATACCTACAACCATATCATATTGCTATGTAATTGTAATCATGTTATAAATACACAAAAGTATATTAACACTAACCCTCTTGTTTACTAGCATATAACTGTATTCTTATTATTGCTAAATCACAAGAAATGCATACAAATGCCAACATTTCCCCATTTACTAGCCTATGAGTACATTCTAATATTAAAGAAAGTGGAGAATAAATTACATGGTGCTATGCTCATCCCCGTGCCTGCAGCCCAGGGATCCAAATCTCTGACCACAGGAGTGGCCTTAGCAGCAGCAATCCCCTGCACATTACACCTATGGAAAGAGGAAAGAGCTATCTACTCTTCCAGGCTGTGTGACACAGCGGTGAGCAGTCACCAAAGGGTTAGAAATGTAGTTCCAGCCTCCGTGCTGTAACTCATTACATGTAAATGGGAGAGTGTTTTCATTCTCCAGCTTCCACCTTCCCCCATATACAACATGCTAGATTTCACCCTAAAGTTATGAAAAAAACACTTCCTTTTCCTATAGTTTCCATGGTGATTTGCTAATCACTCCTGAGCTCCCCTCTCCTAGGCCCCAGGAATAAAACTAAAGATGGCAGAGTGGCATTAATCCCACTTGGCTCAGTTCTCACTACGTTCCAGGCACACAAGGGCACTGTTTGCCTGACTGTCTACAACCATGGGTAAACTACTAACAGGGCATTTGGCTATCAGATTTAGGCTATTCTCTAACTGTATCATTAATTGGAGGTGAGACTGGATTACCATTTATCTGTGTTCTTTAAATTGACTCTGAAC